CCCTCTCACTTCGTGGCTTTAACTGCACATTTTAATAATGGGGCAAAGACAAGCACAGGAAAGCTCCTACCAAACAGCACACCCAGTACTCTTGTTCCCCATAGCACACCTAGGAAACACCTCCTGGGCTTGCTGCCCTGAACAGGCTCAGCTGATGGTGGGAGCAGGTGACAGCAAATGAAGGAGCCTGTCTCCTGCTGTCAGGCATGTAGTGGACATACATCTGTTCTTGAAAAGTGTATTCATGCTTTGTAATGCAGATGTATTTCTCCTGGAGATGATCTGTAATGCATCAGAGGAGAACACACTTGGGGAGGTGTGGAAGAGGTACAGTATTTCTGCTGTCTCACACCTTTCCTTAACAAGATGAGCTTCAGAGATTTACAGTCAAACAAAAGGTGAAGATGAACCTTTTGTAAATGGTAGCACTTAAAATTCCTGCTGCTTTGAAGCTGCATGCTGAGCAGATGCTGCATGCACAGACATTGCCCTCCTGAGATGTGGGTTTTAATTCACCTCCGTTTATGTCATCTGTTCCCCATGTGTTTGTGTTACACTGCTCAAAGTACCTGTGGACAAAATGAGCTTCTGTTTCACCTTGTGCTGCTCGTGTCTTGCTCATTCTGTCACAGGGTGTTGGGCAGCACAAGCTGTGGCCAGGCTGAGCCAGACATTCCAAATCAGTCCCGCAAGGCTCTCATCTGAGGAAACTCTTTGTTATCTAGCCATGCTCTTATACCTCCTGCAGCATATGGTGTGGGGGTCACTGGGGAAGTTACCAACAAGTTTCCAGAGAAAAGGAACCTTTCTGGGGGGTCAGCCTACTTTCCTGTGTGAGGGGAGCACTGACTAGAGTGATGCCTCTTTGTGGGAACCCACTTGCATGGGGAACAGATGGCATGCTCTGAGGGCTTTGTTGTGCTTGTGCTGGAGCTGGCATTGGGGGTGATACAAGTAGGACTGCTTGGACAGAGGAGGAAAAGCATGGGAAGCAGTCAGGAAGGCAAGCTCCGTGACGGTCCTCGCAGAATTCTAGTCATCTGAAGACCAGAGCAGTGTGCTGCAGAAATAGGTTGCCCAACTCTAGAGTAAATGTTAAGCCTGGAGGCAGATGAGGTTGTGGGTACCCAAGGAGCTTCTCCTCTGGAACTACATTAAGTCCTGTGGGACTCCAGAGAGCATGCAGAGGGGAGCTGGAGTGCCTCATACACTCACTACAGCTAATTCTTGGCATAATTTGTAATGGCTATAGGGCTCTTGAATCTGCTTATTGCCCCAGGGGAGTGTCTTGCATATCTTGCATTGGAAGACTTGCTCATGAGCACAGGGCTGCATCTACAGCACCGGGCTTAAAGGTTCTGAGTAAAAGAAAGCCATATGCTCTCACCTGTGTACTTGTGGTTAATAGAGAAAGGATATTTCGTAGAATTAATTCTAGTAGTATTTGGAGGCATTCTCCAGTGTCTGTGACTCATTCAAAGAGCCAGTGAAAGGATGGCACAAGCCCATATTCCAGGGATATGTCTCAGGCTGGCTGGGCTAGAGCTCTGACCCTTGTCTGCAGGACTTCAGTCCTCTACATTAGTTATGCTTCCCTGGACAAAAACAGTAAGATGTAGATGACCTGAGATAAATATGGTTTGTATAGTCCTTGGCACTTCTTTAGCAGAAGGAAGTTAACCAATGTAGTTAATTAAATGTCTTACAGCTCTTTTTCAGTCATGGTTATCCATAGGTGACCATCTATTTCCAACATGATTGTACTGGGGGGAAGTGGCAGGGTTTGCTACAGCAAATTCCCTCGTCTGCCAAAGCAAGGTCTAGGGCCTAGTGCTTAACATGCTGCTGCAGTACAGATACATCCTTTAAGCATCAAGAAAGAGATGTGGATTGGCTTTTTTTTTTCCTGCAAAAAATGACATTTTGAAGTAGGTTAAATCTAACACTTTTCCACATTTTCTTAGAGAGAGATTTTGTCTGGCTGTTGTACGTGCTTTCCATGAGAAATTATTTATGAGCTCCTCAATCCCTCGTCTACTCTTCTTGATGTAACAATAGTAGATCTGGAGGAATGACCAAGGTTAGTTTTATAGTCTTGTTTCAGATGTAGTGCCAAGTTATTCAGTGCTTTGTTTTGTTAGTGCCTGAACCAAGGGGCAATTTATCTCAGCAACGTCCTTCAGATTATACCTATATACTATTTTACCAATAAGGCATGCACCTGCTGCTCCAGTCCCAGAAGAAATCAATGTTTCATTTCAGAGATGCCAGTTCTTTGCTCTCTCTCCTTGTGCCATTCTTATGAAGACAAACTTTTTAGGGGGTGTGGGAAGAAATACAGAAGAACCGTGGAAAAACCTCCCCTACTTCAGCTACCACATCCTGTTCAATTATGAATTGTAAAGAAGCTTGCTGAGGGCAAGGGTTTAAGTGGTGAGCATACATGAACAGGATGGGACATGCCCTTTGTTGGGGTCTGTATGGATGGGATGGGGCACACCCTTTGTTGGGGTCCCCTCCAGATGATGAGCCTAGCCTGCTGCAACCCTGGAAGGAAGTGCACAGTGTGACCATGGCATTTTTGTCTTTGCTGGACAAATGCAAAGCTGTAGCTCAGTTCCTTGCTCACAGTCAGTTATCTATCCTGGCACTGGTGTAACTATAATACATACTTTATTGCTTGTCAATATTTTAACCTTTCTGGCACATTATTCCCTAGGGCAACTGAGCAGCCTCAATAATATAGCTGATAATTATAGTCCTGGTGAATATAGAGTTATCACTAGGGTCCTGTATAAATCACGTGGAAAAGATGACAGATTTCACTAGCTGATCATCACAAAAATGGGAAGAGGTGACAGCTTAATGGGGAAGGTAATAAAACCAACAATAAAGTAATTTATAATATAGGCGATGATTTTCAGGGTTTTCTATTTGTTTTCCTGCTAATAGAAGATAAATGTCATATTAGGAATAAGACCTCAAATTTATATTAAAAATATTTGGAAAATTTCATTCAATATCAGCAATTCTCAGCTCAAGAAGTGGCAGCATGGGTCTTAATTACCTGTCTTAATTACCTGTATAAGGTCCTTAGAACCAAAGTGGTGAATAATAGTATTTGCTTTACTTTCTTGAGGTGCTGCAAGGGTGATGTTTCTAAATGCTGAGGGCATCAGGACCTGGCCCTGTCCTTGTGCCTCAGTGGGAGGAAGCCTCCTGGTCACTGGTGGAAAGCAGGACAGCAGTCCTGGCAGGGATCCTGAGTCGGGTACATTGCGGCTATTTTGGTAGGCTGCAGGTTTCACAAGAAATCCAAGCTGTCATAAGCAAAGAACAAGACTTCAGTGCAGGTGTGAGAAAGCCCTGCAGCAGTACTGGAGCAGTGAGAAAGGGAGGATGCCTTACAGAGCGGACGAGTGTGTCTAAGACACTCTCACCAGAGATATATGAAGGATTGGTGTTTGCACCTGTAAGTTACCTGTTAGTATTGCTGGTTGGTCCTCTGGACTGCATGCTATGAAAGTGCATGTGTGCAGCCTTCAACATTTATACTCTACACTAACAAAAGGTTTGGGAGCATGAATGAGTTATGATGGGACTGCAGAGTGAGCAGGAGTGTCCTGGGGAATGGCCACGGCTCCCTGGGTGAGACCAGAGTAACAAGCAGCTGAGAGAGCAGGAGAGTGGGAGGCTGCCAGCCCAGCTCTGGGCGGGAGCCTGCGTGATCGAGGGAGGGACTGGCGCTGGGGATGGAGGTGCTGTGGGCACTGGTGGGTGTTGAGTGGGTGCTGGGGCTGAGCAGGTGAAGACTGGCATGGTGTTCCCCAGCAAAGTGCGGTTGCTGCCTGGGCATCATCCTGTGCACTGCTTACCTGTGGAGCCAGTGTGCCATGGCTGGGAGAGCAGGAACAGCTCTTCCCAGTCAGCAGCCTGGGCTGGCCTGGCCTGGCTCTGGATGGTCTCTTCAGCAGTGATTAATGTGAGGATGTCTCTGGGATGCAAGCTGGGGAAGGGAGAGCAGTGGATAATGTATTTGTGTCTGTGCTTAACATTCACAGTACATTCTCTTGCATTTCTTCTAAACAAGCACTATGAGGTCTGGGCCCCAGTACCTCTAATCTAGTGAGGGCCTTATTGATCAGGTCTTGCTATTTGGTCCCCTGAGCTGCCTTGTGATGCACAAAAGGAATAAATTGCTCCTTATACTTTCAAGAGTCAGAATGTTTTTAGTGTATGTAGACCCATGTGATAAATACAGAGGCACAGCTGGGATGAGAATAGCAAAAAGCAGAGGGATAATTAACAGCTGGAACAGCACAAACTAGTTCCCAAGCCCAAGCCCTGAAGGGACATGATACATTCATCATGCTGCTCTCTGGGCTGATACTGCAGCTCTGGGGTTCGTGGTATTGAATTACAGTCTCTAGAAAATATTGTTTGGGGAATGTTGAGGAGAACTGGTAAACAATATGCTAGAAGGTGACAGATATGTTGCAGCTTCATATAGGGCTTTCATAATAAAAAGAGCCATGTGGGGTTTTCCCCTCTCTGCCTGCCTGTCAGAGCTGGCAGCAAGCTGGCTGCCAGGCTTCAGTGGGGGATGGCAGGGCCAGCAGCCATTGGGCTTGCTTCCTTCTGATGAATGTTTTCTTTAAAATATTATTTTGTTATTGTGTGAAGCACCAACAATGGCTGATAAATTTCAAGCTTAATGAAGCACCATCTGTGATTCAGCTGCTGTAGATAACAACATATAGAAGGATCTTAACGCTGGATTTAGACTCAGTCTAGCCTGGACACCCTTTCTGGACTCTCCTGCCTTCAGTGTGGTGTTACAGAAGATGACACAGAGGCTCACAGCTCAGAGCTGATGCCCACATGATCTGGGCACAGCTGGTGATCAGGAGCTGCACTTCAGCCGCATGGAGGTGTGGAAGATGGAGGCAGCCAGGATCTGTTTTGTAAGATGTTTTCCTTTCTATCCCCTTTCTTCACAGGAATTTATTCACAAGATTTTAATCTAGGATGATCCTTCACTCCTACAAACCTGCTGACGAATGATGGCAGTGTCCCCTGAGTCAAGCTCACGACATGCTCAGGAGCTGCCTGCCTCTGGAGCATCCTGCATCACGGCCCCAGGGGCCCTGAGTGCAGGGAGGACCTGTGAGCCACCAGTAAAGCACGCACCAAGGTAAGGAAGGGGAATCCTGTGTTCTCACTCAAATGCCACATCCTTCTGGCAGCACAAACTAGGTACTTGCTTGCTTCATTGATTAAATGGGGGACTTCCACAGCCATGGTAACCAGTGGTGTCTGTGCGTAGAGGGTGAACAGGGGATGGCTAGTCAGGTTTTCTCTGTGTGATGATGAAAGGGGAAGTTTTAAGGTGGTTTGCTATCAGTTTAAAAATGCCGTGAGAATCCTGAAGACACAAAAAGACACATAAGAGCTGAAAATCTGCAGCAAAAGCATGCTGCTTCTAGACAGATTTTCCTGCACGTGGAGAGAGCGCTCCCAGCAGCACAGGAGCACACGATGCCCACCTGGATTTCTGGTAAGGATGCATCAGATGCTTTTTGCAGAAGATGTGGGATTTAAGGTTTTTCCATCCTTGCTTATGTGCCACCCCCAGGGAACATGGGTGGTAACTGGCATGGCATTAGAAATACTGCTCAAGGAATCCTGACTGCCAGGGAGCTCTGAGTCACCTGCTCAGTGAGCTTCTGCTCAGCTTAGAGTTTCTACGTCCTCATGGCGTCAGAGTGGCAGAGTGTGGGTCCACCTGCCCAGGCTGGCCAGCTGCCAGAGGAGAGCTGTTGTGGTAGAGAGCCAGGCGCCCAGGCGGCTGTGGTACCCCAGCAGTGGCCAGCCAGGGTTGTTCTGGGGGGCTGCAGTGGTGCAGCTGCTTCCCCTCCAGCTGACTAAGGAAGCAGCTGCTATGGGCTCTGCTTCCACTCCAGAGTAGTGCTGTGATTACAAGACAAACATAAAGTCACAAAAACATCATCAAAACCTAAAGTAAAGTATTCAGCTCATAAAAAATGTGCCATCTGAACAAACAAAAGAGTTACAGCTTTCCGTACTCCCTCTTGGAGCCAAGGGGAGAGTGTGCTGCTATAGCAGAAGCCTGAGGAGCCATCAGTGGCCGAAGTAGAGGATTTCACTACCCCCGGAGAAGCTCTTTCACATTTATTTGTCATATGTTTGTATTTAATGCACTGATTAGGGCCAGGACTTTTAGACAGCCACTGACTGTGCACGTGAATTGGTGTAAACGTTATGTAGGACCATCGTCAGCTCTGCTCCCCAGGAAGACTGATACACAGAATGAATCTTCTCAAGCTGCTTCTGAAAAGATTCATGGGACTGCAGTGAAAGTTGCTTCCAATGGGAACCTCTGTGTACTGGTGTCAGCATATATTTTATTCCCTATGACTACAAGGGCTGGTTAGGTCATGAGCCTCCCACTGAAATGGACCTCCTACAATTGCCAGATAATTGGTTCTTTTCCTTATAGGCTGATGGAAGTTATGGTTTGCCCCTGGCTCCCCCAAGAGCAGGCGTAGCACCATGGGCTGCTTATCTCTCATCCAGGTGCTCAGCCTGTCTTTCCTTTCCACCTGGCATGGCCAGAGGGGAAGCCCCAAGAGCAGAGGGCAGGGAGCAGCTGCTGAGCATGGGTTTGACCATGGGCTTGCTGCCTGAACCAGAAGTGGGGCTGGAGGACTGGGAAGGTTGTAGGATGGTGGTGCAGGCTGGGGGTGGTATGGCAGATTCAGATGCACAGTGATGCTGGAATCAGGTCACTGTGAGCATTGGTCCTTGACAGGTGCTGTAGACCAGCTGTCTGGCCTTTGTCCCTGGGACCAGGTACTCATCTGCTGCTGTGGCATGTCACAGCTGCTGCTAGTGCTGGTGCTGCAGCTGCGGCAGAGGATGTGCCAAACCCTTCGAATCTTGTGCTGATTGTATCTGGCTGCAATTAAAGGCTCAGGAGACCTTGGGAAAGAGCCCTTTGCTTGCCTCCTTGTCTGATTTGATCTTACCAAGGGGCTGTGACTGATCTTGAAAATCTCCCTGCTCCCAACTGAGCAATCACAGAGAAGCACTAGATATCCATCTTCCCCCTTTGGTCTTGTCCTGCTTTGGATACTGACTCTCTCCTCCAACACAGGCTCCTCTCTCTCAAACATGTGGCTCCTCTGTGCTGGCATTTCAGAGTGGCATTGCGCAGTGTTGCTGCTTGGAGCCATCCTGTTGCTTGTTCCTCTTCTCCTTTCAAGTTTGTACAGCATGTGCAGCCAGTGTGAGAAGAATCCAGGGGTGAAGTGGCATAGGGTGGTGGGAATGCTGCCATTGGGAAGGCCATGCATGCCAGAAATATCTTTTCCTCAGAAAGATCCTAAAAGAACTGAGTCTGCCAATCAAACTCTCTACAAACAAAGATTAATGTGCACCCCTCATGCTGAGCCACAGCTCTCTGTTTATTGCATTTTAACATTGTCAACAGCGCCTGCTGAGGTGCTTGCCATGATCTGCTGACCTCTACTATTTGGGATGGCATATGAATTGATTGTGGTGGAAAGAACTTTATTGGAATAAAATGAACTTCTCAATTATTGCCACACAAATAAATCTCTGTGTTCCAGTAATCCCCCTCAAGGAGCACTTCCAAAACCCTGAGTTCCTTTAGGACCTTTCTGGTGGAAAATTCTTCTTATTTCTGTAGTTTGGCTTTTGGGGTGGCTCGTTTACTTTACTGGGCACCCTGTGGCAGCAGCACTGTCCAGGACTGCTGGCACCTTCTGGAGACATCTCCCCAAGAGGTGACAGGCACCTAAAAGCTGAGAGTGCTTGGGACTATCCCTTCTAAGGCCTCTTCCTTGTGCTGCCAGTTGCAGTGCTCTGGAATATAAAACATGGAAATAATTAAGTAGAATAGTTAGCTAATGTTTGCACAGGATCTGGAAAATATAAAGAACTATATAATTGCTAGGTACAATAGATTAATTTACCCAGTGCTTTGAAAATGTAAAGGCAGCATAGCAGTGCTAAGTATTATAATTAATTAAGTTTTCACTATTTGTAAGATTTGTTTTGGACAACAACAACACCAAGAGTTCAGTTTTCCAGTTTGGGTCCACAGGAGGGAATGATGAGGGGTGCGATGTGACCTCCAGGGATGCCACTGCAGGCAGGACAGGCTGTGGAGTGTGAATGACACAGTCACAGCCCCGGCCGTGGAGTGGGGCCTGCTGAGGTCTGGCCTTGATTTGTGCTGCCAGTGACAGTGGCTGAGTGCCAGACCTGTGCCTGCAGGAGCAAACTATAAGGAAACTGGTGATCTGTGTAGAAGATCCCTGAGCAATCTTAGCTGGAAATTCCAGGGGCAAAAAGTCTTTGTGTTGTGTTGGTGCCTGTTACTCCTTCTGTGTTTCCTCCAAACTCCTCTGGACAGTGTGAGGGCTGGTTCTCAGCACAGTGATGCACTGAGTGACTGTCCTGCTGCAGACACTCAGAGAGGGTACCTGAGGGCTGGGGGGCACAGGGCAGGGGATGGGGTGTAGCAGACTCAGTGTCTTGCTGGACAGCAGTCCCACTGCTGCTCCCATGCCTGTTGTCTAGACAAGCATATGAACTCTTGCCTTGGGGCTCCAGGAAACCCTGCATTTGGCATGTGTCCAAGGGTGGTTTGTGTTTGCACTGTGGCTGTTTGGGCAAGGGAGAATGAGGATTATTGCCTGGTGCAGTCAGCTGTACAGAAAAACACGTTGTGCTGTTAGAGGGCCCTACATAAGAATAGCAGCTGCAGCTCATTTGTCTCTTTTATCTGGCTGTGGCAGCTGCTAAGGGCACGTGTGCGTTCCACACTTGGGTGTCACTGACATGCAGTCGTTCTTGTGCAGATCTGCAGTATGTGAAACCCTTGAGTGCAGGCGTTTCCTGGAGACCAGTGTGACTAGCCAGAAAAGGCTGAAGGAACTCCTAGGAACTCTGAGGACCTCTGTGCACGTACAGTTCACTGCAATAAGAAATGCTGCAGAAACAATTCAGCAGTTCCTGTATTATTCTTAGAATAACTTCTGATTCTTACTTTTTAAACAGCAAAGGAGGCAAAGTACTATCATCCATTCATTAACAAGTTGCTCTTTTACTCTTAGCCTGAACATTGCAGCCTCAGTGTGCTCCTGCCCTGGATCAGGGAGATGTGAAACTTACCCAGTATTTATTAGCATATAGAAACTAGTCTGTCTGTGCATTTATTTGGGTAAATAGTGAGAGCAGGATTTCCCATGCTTGTTCAACAAGTTAATTCACTTGGAATTTTGTCTCCCAGACATATATTCCTGCACTGTTCCTAATGATCTGGCTCAGTAAGCAGAAGGCACTCCTCTTCCCATGCTCATGGAGGGAGGCGATGACATGACGTTGGTCGCTTTTGGAGACCTCTTCACAAACACTGTGAATCTGATGCAGTAACTGGGATTGTGTGTTAATCACACCCAGTCTTTAATGAGCTAAAGTAGTAGGCAAGCCAGGAGATGCAGTGGAGGGGAGGTTTGGAGTATTGAGCCAATGGCCACGTGAGGGAACAGCTTCAGAGGGAGAACACCAGGTCTGTATCACACCACCACTGACTGCCATGTGAGTGCAGAAGCACAAAGAGAAGGAAGAAGAATCTGGTCCTAAATGAACAGGAAATTTGGAGCCTCTCAAGGTTCACTGCCCACCCTGCTCCATTCCCAGTTTGCTCTGGTCATCTCTTCCTTTTCTTGCTAGGCTTTGGGCTGGTCCTCATGTGTAGGACTGCAGCTCTCTGCAGAGCAGGAGCCTTTGGGATGCTCTGCTCCAGTTCCAGGCATAGTTCCAGTGGTCTTCTGTCCACTGGCAGCTGTGTGCTGCTGTCGCTCTGGCGGCTCCCTCCCAGTGCTGCATGCCCAGGCATCAGTCTCTGTGTGGAGATGTGCCAAAAGCCATGCTCGTGGTTGTGTCACTGATGCTCTGGGAGATAAATGGGAGGGGGAACAACATTACTTTGCTAAGCATGCAAGGAACATTTCACACCCAGGCAGTACTGAGCTGTAGGGCCATGGTCTGACCCTTCCTGAGGGGTTGAGGAACCACCTCGCAGGCTGTGCCAGTGCCTGTCCCTGGGAGAAGCTTTGTGGGAGAAGGCTCAAGGATG